CTCCTGTTGCCCAGTCCTAGCTTCTGGCAAACAGAGGCTAGGGACACCATCCCTGCCCATCAGATGACATCTGTGAAATGGGAACGACTCATAGACTGTAAGGCCAGAAGGGCCTGTTCTGGTCCCCTAGACTGAGCTCCTGTATAACCCAGTGCAGAGAATCTCCCCCAGGGATTCCTGCATCCAGCCCATCATGTCCTGTGGAGCTAGAGCCAACCTCTTGGGAAGAGACACCCACCTTGAGTTAGAGACTCCAGGTGATGACAGTCCTTAGCCAGCTACCCCAATGGTTAATTCCCCTCACAAGTAAAAATCTGCACCTTATTTCCAGTCTGAGTGTCTGGCACCAGCTACCAGCCACTGGCCCTTGCTCAGCCTCTATCTGCTAGGTTAAAGAGATCTCCACGCTCAGAAATCTCCTCCCTCCAGAGGGGTGAACAACCACGAGCAAGTCACGCCGTGGCCTTCTTTTCAATCAGCAGCATAGACTGAATCACTTGCTCTCAGGCAGGCTTGGCAAGCCTTGAATCATCCTTGGGCTCTTCCCTGGCTGCCTCTGCATTTCACCCTGGCTAAGGATACTGGCCTTTCTCTGCCAAGCATGTGGAGAGTTGGGGTGAAAAGCACTATGTGCCAAATAGACGCAGAGTTGGCTGCAGCGTACCCAGCCCTATAGAAATGGCTGGAGATTTCCCCCTGACACCAGGGACAAATTTGGCCAGTTTCACCATTGACGTGATCCTTGTATTGCCAGTAAAAAGGGGATGTCAATCAGATTGGTTCACTCTTGTGGGTAGGACCCTGGGTGGGGTCACAGGATACCTGGTTCTATTCCCAGCTCTACCACTTCCCTGCTGGGTGACCTTGGGTCTCTGTTTCCTCTCCCACTCTGGGTCTGTCTGGTTTATTTAGCCTGGGAGCTCTTTGGGGAAGAGACCATCTCTCACTCCATGCAATGCCTGGCACAATGGGGGTCTGGTTTCCGATGAGTCTGTGGTAATACAGAGAATTATTACTCCATGTGAGATGACATGGATGTAGCTAAAATGTTCACCTCCTGATGAGCATTGGGCCCTAGCTGGTGTTGTGCCATTAGATGCTGTGTGTCTTGTCCCAGGCAAACAATAAACAAGCATCTTCAGTGCTGGTTACTTTTATTTTAAACAGAAGGAAAATCAAAGAAAGAACTAATGTAAAGTCCCCAGGAGTTGAGAGCCCAGCGTGGGACTCGCCCCACAGCAGCGGCAGCTGTCTTGAACTAACCAAGATTCTGCAAGAGCCAGTGCCCTGAGTGCCGCATGGGGCTCCAGAGCCGGAGGCTGAGTCTTGCTAGCATATCCCCAGCGATGATTCGCCAGGCCCAGCAGCGTGTGCTGGGATCCATGTAGGATCCTGCAGTGCTCAGCAGTGGGAGGGCAATGGCATGCAGTCCTGTCCACCACAGCTGCCGGACCTTTGGCCTTCTCCTGACAGAGGCTGTCATCCAGGCAGTGCCCCTTTGCCACTCGGCTCACAGGTCGGGGAGCAGCAGCCGCTGCCTGGGAGGGAGCCAGCACCTCAGCCTACAACACAACAGCCGGTGATGGGATAACCGGGATTGTTACGCACGAGGGACAGGGAGATGGCACTGGGCATGGGGCCTCTGCTCCAAAAGGCTCAGCTGTGAGACTCCCCGCAGGGTACCAGAGACCTCCTCACCCATCCCCAGAAATCTGGGGAGTGGGGACCCCAAAAGTGTCCTGGGAGCTTCAGCCCCAGCCCACTCCAGCTCGGAGCAAGTGGAGAGAGCCTGGGGGAGAGGGAGGGAATGGGGGCAGGAGAAGGAGAGAGGGAGAGGGAGAGGAGTAGAGAAACAGAGCGAGATGTGGGAGGGGGCAGAGCCAGGCTCAGGTGCTTGGATGTCTCAGGACCCTGCCCCACCTGCCAATCAACCCCTGCTGCTCTCTTGCTCTCTGTTTTGGAGGATGGGATGATAACCCCTCTGGCCCTCTCAGATCTGGGCACAGCCCACACCCTCCACATGGGCACATGCCAGCCTGCGTCTCATGGAGCCCCAATGCCACCCTGGCCTGGCACTGAGGAGATATTTATAGAAACCAGGCCAGAAGGAAGATGCTATTGGCGATGACCATGAAGTGCACCCGTCTCCTCTTACCAGGTGGAAGGGAAGAGACCCCCCAGGCCTATGCTGGCAGATAACTCTGCTCCTGACCCGCTCCCCCAAATCCACGTGTGCTTTGCCAAACTGCTCGTTCAGTGAAAGAGGCTGCCCCTTGTCAACCCCTCAATCACACTGTCCTCACATTGGGAGCAAATCTCTCACCCTCCCCCCAGCTAAGGCCAACATCTGCCCAGCCTTCCCTGGAAAGACCCCCAAACGGCTGAGCCTGTCGCATTTTCCCTTCGTTTCTATATATAGTGGCTGCTGGAGGGGAGGCTGTGTATCAAATGCTGTATGAAGAGAGCAGCACAGGGAGAGCTCTATAAATAGTCACTGCTCCTGTAGGAGGGTGTGGATAATGCACTGGGTATAGAGAGGAGAGAAAGCTTTGTAAATAGTGGGACTGTGGGGAGGTGTATGTGTCTTTGTCTGTGTGTAGAAAGACAGGCAGAGACACAGCGAAACTGAGAGACTCACTGAAGATACTGAAGATCTTTTTTAGAAACACGGTTCAGACATTTGACTTTGTAGAAAGAGACATATAGGAACTTGGGAGATTGACACTGAAAATTGTGGTGGATGGAGGCTTATAAGGAGAGAAATTATGGATAGATGGAAAGTGATAGAAAGATGCTGGAGAGATTGATAGAGGGAGAAATGGACTGAGAGAGAGAGAGAGAGATGGGGTGTATAGGGATAGATAGATAGATGATGCATGCATGGATGGATGGATGGATAGAGGAGGTATATGGGGATAGATGGATGAATGGATGGAGGCAGTGTATGAGGACAGATACATGGATGGATGGATAGAGGAGGTGTATGGGGACAGATCGATAGATGGATGGATAGAGGACAAGGTATATGAAGATGAGTGGATGGATGGATAGAGGAGGAGGTGTATGTGGATGGATGGATGTATAGGTGCAGACTTAGTGGGTGCTCTGGGGCTGGAGCACCCATGGAAAAAATAGCAGATGCTCAACACCCACCAGCCACCTGCCCATGAGCTGTTCAGCGGTCCCCTGATCAGCTGTTCCACAGGCCCCCACCGATCAGCTGTTCTGTGGCTGGTCCTGATCAGCTGTTTGGTGGTGGGTGGTAGGTGGAGGCGCACATGGGAGGAGGAGGAGCTGGGGCAGGAAGAGGCAGAGTGAGCACAGGGCCTCAGTGGGCGGGGATGGATGAATGGAGAAGGTGTATGGGCAGATGGATGGATGGAAGAGGTATATGGGTATAGATGGATGAATGGAAGAAGTGGATGGATGGATGGAAGAGGTGGATGGATGGAGGTGTCTGGAGGGATGGAGGGATGGATGGAGGAGGTGTATGGATGGATGGACGGAGGTGTATGGGTAAAGAAGGATGGATGGAGGAGGTGGATGGATGGAGGTTTCTGGAGGGAGGGAGGGAAGGATGGATGGATGGAGGTGTGTGGGTATGGATGGATGGATGGATGGATGGATGGATGAGGTGTATGGATGGAGGTGTCTGGAGGGATGGATGGATGGATGGAGAAGGTGTATGGAGATAGATGGATGGATGGAGGAGATGTATGGATGGATGGACGGAGGTGTATGGGTATACAAGGATGGATGGATGGAGAAGTGGATGGATGGATGGACGGAGGTGTATGGGTATACAAGGATGGATGGATGGAGAAGGTGGATGGATGGATGGACGGAGGTGTATGGGTATAAATGGATGGATGGATGGATGGATGTGTCTGGATGGATAGATGGAGAAGGTGTATGGATGGATGGACGGAGGTGGATGGGTATGAATGGATGGATAGATGGATGGATGGAAGAGGTGGATGGATGGAGGTGGATGGATGGAAGAGGTGGATGGATGGAGGTGTCTGGAGGAATGGATGGAGAAGGTGTATGGGGATAGATGGATGGAGGAGGTGTATGGATGGATGGACGGAGGTGTATGAGTATAGAAGGATGGATGGATGGATGAGGTGGATGGATGGAGGTGTCTGGAGGGAGCGAGGGAGGGAGGGATGGAAGAGGTGGATGGAAGGAGGTGTCTGGAGGGATGGATGGAGGGATGGATGGAAGAGATGGATGACAGAACGAGGAGTAATGGTCTCAAGTTGCAGTGGGGGAGGTTTAGGTTGGATATTAGGAAAAACGTTTTCACGAGGAGGGTGGAGAAACACTGGAATGCGTTACCTAGGGAGGTGGTGGAATCTCCTTCCTTAGAAGTTTTTAAGGTCAGGCTTGACAAAGCCCTGGCTGGGATGATTTAGTTGGGGATTGGTCCCGCTTTGAGCAGGGGGTTGGACTAGATGACCTCCTGAGGTCCCTTCCAACCCTGATATTCTATGATTCTATGATGGAAGGAGGTGTCTGGAGGGAGGGATGGATGGAGAAGGCGTATGGGGATAGATGGCTGGGCGGCTGGATGAGGTGTCTTGAGGGATGGATGGATGGAAGAGGTGGATGGATGGAGGTGTCTGGAGGGAGGGATGGATGGATGGAAGAGGTGGATGGAAGGAGGTGGATGGAGGCAGGGAGGGAGGGATGGAGAAGGTGTATGGGGATAGATGGCTGGGTGGCTGGATGGAGGAGGACTAGGGGTATGGGGACAGACAGCCCGTCTGTCAGTCTATGGCTCCGTGGCTATGGAACGTTCTCCGGGATCGCACGCGGCTCTGCCCGGGGCCGGGCGGCTCCAGGCTCGGCTCAGCGCCGTGCGCGGGAGCGGGGCGCTGCGGGGATCCGGGGCTGGGGCGGACCCCAGCGGGCCCGAGATCCCGGGCCGGGGGGAGCGGATCACCCGGCAGCCCAGCCCAGCCCAGGGAGGTCCGGCGCGGTTGCCGTGGCAACGGCCGGGAAGCGGGGGTGCCTGGGAAGGGGAGGACACAGACACACAGACACGCACAGACAGACACACGCACAGCTCCGGCTGCAGTGGCGGCTGGCTCCCGGGCGCTCCCGGGTTGGCCGCGCTGCGGACCATGGGCGGGCTGCGGGCGCCCGGCCGCGGTAAGTGATCAGCACCCGGGAGCCGGACAGCTCCGTGCGCCGCCTGCCGGGGCGGGCATTGGCCGGGGAGGAGGGGCCCGATCCCGCCCTGGGGCCCTTCGCTCGGCCCCGCTAGCCCCGGGGGCTGCTCGCTGCAGCCTGGCTTCCTCGGGCGCTGCTGGAGCTGGGGTCCCCCGGGCTCCATGGCGGCTCCCCCCCGGCCCCAGGGGCTGCTCACACTTTGCGGGGCGGGGTGGGGGATGGGGGGCAGCCCTGCGGGAGGGGGGATGTTTGCACCGGGCCCTGGGCAGTGGGGTCCCGGGGGGAGGGTCTGAAGTGAAACCAATGGGGTGGGCGGGTTCATTTCTCAAACGCGCTGCCCGCCCCCTTCCTCCGGTCCCGACTCGCCCTGACTTCAAGGGTCACCCAGCGAGCGGGCCCACCCGGACTTCGGATCCGGTCGCTGCCGTTTACACCTGGGGGTGGGGGGCGGGAACTCGGATCCGGTGGCGTTTTGTTCCCACCGTGCTGGTAAGTGACGGGGCAATGGAGGGTCAGATCCCCCAATCCCCGCCCCTGAGATCTGGGGACGCTCTGATCCGGAGCCCAACTTTGGAAGCAATTCTGGGGGTGGGGGGCAAGGATAGGCTGAATTTATCCCCTCCCCCCTTGTGGAGTCTCAGGGAGAGGATCCAGGAGGGCGCTCAGGGCTAGGAAGTGGGACTGGCAGAAGCACCAGGCGAAATCCCGCCCCCGTCAGGCAGCGGGCGGCCAAGGACACATCTGGGTCAGGGGAGAGCCGCGGGGGCAGCCTGGAGCTATGGCTATGGCTTTGCATCACTCCCAGCTGGATGGTGACTGGGTGGGGTCAGTCTGGATGGGGCCAGAGTCCCTCTGGTGGAAGCTGCAGCTGGATCAGCCTGCAGGAGCCTGAGCAGGGCTTTTCTGAGAGCCCCAGGCCTGTCGAAGGGAGGGAGGGCCCAGCAGTGAGGGAGCTAGCCTGGCCTGCGGGCATCCTGGGTCCAGGTCCCCACTCTGTCACAGACTCCCTGTGTGACCTTGGGTAAGTCTCTGTGCCTCGGTTTCCCAGCTGTGAAATGGGGATGATGGCCATGTCCTGCTGTGGGGGGTAGAGGTGGGGGGGGGGCAAGATGAGGCTAAATACATTAGAGATTGTGAGATGCCCAGATACTAGGGTGACAGGGCCAGCTATGTACCTAAGATTGGGAGCCTGAGGGTGAGATGCATGGCCTTTGCTGAGTGCTCCGTGGGCAGGCAGTGGGGGGGGGGGGGCCTCTCTGCCCCTCACAGGCCCAGGACACAGCAGTGGGATATGCTGTTACAGGTCCCACTCTGATGATGCAGCATAGAGCTTCTGGGGCCAAGCAGGGGAGGAAAGTGCCCAGGCTTCAGGTTTGGTGTGGGCAGGGATGGGGTAAAGCTCCTCTCTGCCCTCCCCGGTCCTGGCACAGCTGGTTCCTTGCTCCAGTGATTTGGAGCAGCCTGGGAGCTGCTCTAATCTCTGCTGGCTGCACACAGCAGAGATCAGCAACATCCCAGTCGTGGCCCTGTGCCCACATGGCTGCTTCCTAATGGGTAATTAGGAATAATGACTCCCTGAAATGTAGGTCCTGGTCCAAAGCTCCTTGAAATCCACAGAGAGACTGTGGGGTAGCCTTATGGGGTCAGGTTTTTCAAGGCTCAGCTCCCACAAGGAGCCCCCAGCACCAGGCATGCCGAGCGCCTCGGATCATCTCCCCTCTGTGCTGGACTTTCCTTCATAACAAATCATTGCACTTTGAATCCCCAGCTGGCAGCTCTGCGATTTGTCTTTAATTACCCAGGAGACTTTGCTCCTTATAAGTCAACTGAGCCTATACTGGGCAGAAAAAGTCCCCCAACTCCCTGAGGTCAAAGGGCGGGATGGCACCTCCTGGCTTTGTAGGCTAGCATATGGCCTATAGCCATATGCTATAGCAGCAGGCTATGGTCTGGCAGTCATGTCTGGGGAGGACACCCCTCTCCCAGTGGGGCTCTGCACTGGAGCCTGGATCCCACTGCAGGATTGGGGACTGGATTTGTAGCTCTGAGTCCCCCTGCTAGGGTTGACTCATCCTGCCTTCTTTCCTAGCTAGATAAACTGACTAATCCCAGGCATGCTACAAAGGGCCTTTTCCAGTAGGCCATCAGCACCCCCACTTCTGTCTGCTGCTCAGCCTTATTATTAATAATCCCAGCACATGCTTCACAGTCCTAACCCTGAGTGCTCCCTGCCTGTCACTCTCAAATTGTGGGCTGCTACATCATCCCAGGAGGGGTGGTGGAACTAAAACACCAGAGAGGGGAAGACGTCACAGGGCGAGTCAATGACAGAATCAGGAATAGAACCCAGGCATCCTGATTACCAGGGCACTGATCTGGAGCAAGTGAAATTCACCAGGCTGTTGCTCTGCATCTCCCCAGTAGCTAGCCTATGACTGCTACTAGCTGGTGGAGTTGTTTCTTTAGCTTAAGTGATAAGGGGCAATGAAGCTGGGGTGGCATTTTCAGAAGTGCCCAGTGCTGGCCCAGTTCTGCTCCACAAAATTAATGGTAAAACTCCCACTGACTGCCGAGAGAGCAGCATGAAGCCAGTGCCGTGTGCTTTTGAAATTCCCCCTCCCCATTACAGCTAAAGGTCCTGGTTCTAATCCCCTCAGGGACGAATAAGGAGGGTCCTTACTCAAGGACTTATGTTTTTCTCTGTGGCCAAATTGTCAATTTCCCTGGTGCACTGGCAGCTGTCTCATACCCCTCCCATAGGGCTGGGTCCTGTACTGCCTCTATGTACAGTACAGAGAAGGGTTTTGCAACTCAAATGTATGGTAAGATCTTATCATCTGTCCCGTGATTGGTTCAGAGCCCACTGTGGGTAAAATTGCCAGTTACGTCTCTGGCAGACGCTGCTTTCCAGCCGCCAACCCCCAGAAAAAGACACATGGGGTTGAATAATATTGATACAACACAGCAAGGCTCAGACATACCTAGGGAAAGCTCCATCATGGGCTAGAGCTGGGCTGGGGGGCATGAGTCACGGGGATGGGTGTGAGATCAGTCACCAGAACATTTCATGAGGCCCAAATTGGTAAACCTGTCTTTATTCTGTGAGATTTCAGGATGCTGAGCCTTTTCCCATGGAAGTCTGTGAAAATAGTGACAGGATGTTTGTGCTAAAAAATTAATGCTCACAAGTAAGGGTTTGCGTGTTTGGGTATGTTTGTGTGTGTGTGTGTTTTGTGTGTGTATATACATATCTTGTGTGTGTTTGTGCTATTGTTTGAGTATGTGCATGTCTGAGTGCTGTGTGTGTGTTTATTGTGTGTGTGTGTGTGTGCATTTTATCTTTCTTTATATGTGTCTGTATATTTTTGATTGTGTATGTTTTGCTCATATGTGTGTGTTTTGGTTTTGTGTGGTATGTATGATGTGTGTGTGTGTTGTATGTCAGTGTATGTGTGTGTGCACCCTAGCGGTAACCAATTCTACTGCATTTAGCACGAGGTTGAATATTTTACCAGTGGGGGAAACTGAGGCACAGAGTGGTTGTGAGTGGAGGCACATGAGACCTGACTCTGGCCCTGACATACTTGCCCGAGGCCAAGATCCGGGGAGTCTCCAAGCTAGGACCAGGGCCTAGCACAGTGCTCTGGGCTGCCTCACTGCTGGAGGCACCATCTATTGCATGAGGGACACAGACCTGGACACTATGGGGTGCTGACTTCCGTGGGAATTGCAGGTCCCAGCATGTCAGAGGGGCACCCCCTAAAAGATCTCATTGCTCCAGGGCTTGGCAGATGGTTTTCCTGCTCAGACTCTTCTTTGCTGCTCCACCACACCCAAGTTTCAGTTGGAGAAGTTACCCCTCAACTTTTTCCTGCCAGATCTCCAGCTTTCAGGCAGCGTTGCTGTGCGCTGTTTTGCAGCTTCCGCGGCACTCCCCAAAGGTGGCTGCATGTCACTGTTGGGCAAATTGTTCTAGCTGATACTCAGTGTGTCTAAACCAACTCTCGGTGTGTGTGTGTCTAATGGAAGCTGCACTTCGCAAAGTTCTGCTGTCTTTGTCAGGACAAAGTTCTGCTGTCTTTGTCAGCCGCTTTAGAAATGCTACCAGGTGGTTTTTAGGCTGGGCCAGTAGCGACCACTGTGTGGGTTTTTTGCAACGGAATTGGTTGCATGTAATCGACACTGGGAAAGCCCAGTGGCAGGAGCCTCCCAAGGACTAACCGAGGGTGAGAAGTAATGTGCGGGGGGACAAATGCTGAGGCAGTGGCATGGGGCCTGGGTGCTTTTGCAGCATAAGAAGCACAAACAGCCCCATTATCTTCATATGCAAAGTCAATATTTATTACCAAGGCCCCAGGCCAAGCTTCCCCAGCTGGACTCTCCTCGTTATGAAAAGCGTGGAATGAATGTTCGATGCCGTGTCCCAGAGCTGAGTTCACTGCACCACAGAGCACGCCGGGCAACCTGTGGTCATCCCCTTTCCCCTTCCAGCAGGGGGTGCTGCTGTGAATCATGTACCTGGGCAGAGGTCAGCATTGACATGCGTGGATGGAGAGCCCAGGACAGGCATAGTGAGGGGGCCAGGGCTCAGGATTGAGGGGGGCCGGCAGAGCTCTGTGTATATGGAGCTTAGGGCTAAGATTGCAGGGGTGGGGCTTGAGTTGGGATTGAGGGGCACCAGCAAAGCTGTTGGTGGGAACCCAAGATGGGAACAGCAGGGGTTCTGCAAACCTGGATTTCGGAGCATCAGCCGAGCAGGAGTGGGGGGTCAGGACAGGAATAGCCAGGGTACTGAGGGTCAATACCATGAGGCACCCACAGTATTCCCCAGCTCTAGCCAGCGATACGAGTCCTTTGTTGTCATGAGTGTATAAAGATTCCCCAGCGCCCGAGTCTGGAGGATTTGACTGACATTTGCTCCTTCTCAGCCCCCCATCACTAACTTGCCCACGCTGTGCCCAGCGCACTGGGGCACGGTCCCAGACCAGACCTGGGGGAGCCATGTCTCGAATGCTAGAGGTCAGGATGCTCTGCAGGGGGCAGAGGGGCTTATGGCCTTCCAGTGAGGCTTATGGGTCTGTACTTCACTGTCATCAGAAGAGACTGGGAGGTGCGGCTGGATCACTGCATCACACCAGAGAGTGGGGACCTGGAGGGTGGCTGGTGGGGTGTTCCATGGAGCCCTGGATGGGAGTGGAGGAGCGAGTCCCCCAGCTCTAGTAGCTTTTGTAGCCTGCACGGTGGCAGCTCTCCCCCTGCAGGGGACTTGGAGACTAGACAGGTGTCCCACCCCCCCTGCAAAGGCCCTGCCTGTAAGTCCCCCTGCCCTGCCCCTCTGCACGGTGGGCTCTTGCTGCACCCTGCAGCTCAGAGAGGGAGGGGAGACTTTGCCCCGCAGTGGTGACCCCTAGGCAGTTCGAGGGTTGGGTTCGCTTCTGTCTCCAAAGCACTTTGGCCTGGAAAAGGGGTTGGAAATGGCATGAGGTTCATGCTGAGATGGGGTGACCTCTCCAGGGCAAGGACAGGGGGCATCAAGGCCAAGTGGGAATTGACTGAAAATAGAAAGGGGTTGGGATCTGGGCCAAAGCTGCAGCTGGCTCTGAGTCCATCTGAGCAGCCGCCTCCGCACAGAGCAGTAAGCTGCAGCCTTGAGCCCTGTTGCCATCCGTGAGGCAGCAGCTTCCCTCATCGCTGACCCCAAGAGGATAAAGGCTCTACTACTGCTGCTGCTGGTGACTCAGGGAGCCCTCCATTAGCTCAAGCAGTGGAGGCCTGGGCTTTTGGAGATGCGGAGCCACTTTTCTAACCCTAGCTCCTATTGTTTGTTACAGTGCAGATGGGGGCGCTGAGCCAGGCTTACAATGAGGAGTGGGGCAAGGTGGCTCCAGGTGTGAGCTCTGGGTCCAGTCAAGGCTGAATTGGCTTCAGTCAGGTGGGAGATGTTATCAGGGAGGGAAGTGGGGGTGCATCTGCTCAGCATGCACTTCTCCTGAGGGAAGCCCCTTCTCCAGAGGATGGCCAGTGAAGAACACCCCTGAGCTCACGCTGAGGAGAGAGGGGGCTGGGAGGACAGACTCACAGCCAGCTAGTGGCCCCTGGCTGTTTGTGACCATGGCTCACTCCAACCATGCAGCCTAGCAGTGCCTGCAATTGAGTTGCCTGGGTCCTTGTCACAGGGTTGAGATCTCCAGGCCTCCCTCCCTGCAGAGAGGTTGTCATCCTCCCTTCTCCCCACCCCCTCCCACCGCTGCTCTCAGCTCCCTGCGGGTTGAAGGGAGTCCAGCCGCAGCTCATCTCTCCAATGAGGCACTCAGCCGGTGAGGAGAGACAGGGAGGGTGCCTGAGCTGTGACTGGGGTGGGGTGGGATGGGAGGGCTCTGGACCTGGATGTGCAGCTGACAACCCCCTCACCTGTGTAGCCCAGCTACTTGGGCTTTGCCCAGGCCCCTCCCAGTCTTCAGCTTCCTCCACTCAGGCATATGAAGAGGCTCATTCAGTGAGGCTTACAAGACCCTGCAAAGATCCCTCCAGTTGTAGCCTGGTTAGTTCTCCAGCTAAGCAGCCTTGTCACTGTGTGGAGGGGAGACCGCTGGAAGAACTCAGGAAATGCAGGAATTGGTGTTGGTGATACAGTAGGGGGCACCCTCCCCTCTGAGCCCCTGCTGATCCCAGTGCAGTGAGAGGGGACATTGTGCTGCAGACAGCAGGGGGAAGGCACGGGGGAGGGATGCTGTGTAGCAACACTGGGGAATCAGTGTGTTGCAGGGAGCAATTGTGGGGGTTGCTAAGCAGCAGTTCAGAGGGGCCCAAACCTCACCACTGTGTTACTGACATTTGCGGTTATTAAAACAGAAAGGTCTTAATTCTCCCCTCCCTTGCACCCAGCGTGGCTAGTGGACAGAGCTCTAGACGGACACTCTGAAGATATTTGCTTTATTCCTGGCTCTGTCACTGGCTTGCTCAGTGATCTTGGGCAAGCCACTTGGCCTCCCTGTGTCTCAGTTTCCCCACCTGTAAAATGAGGATAATGATACTGACCTCTTCTGTAAAGTGCCTTGAGACTACTGGAGAAAAGCACTATGTAAGAATTAGGTGTTATTATTACACCTGGGCAAACTTTATGTAAAACATAAACAGTATGCAGGGCCGGGGAGAGTCAAGGCCATACCGCTTGTGAACGCTCCCATTCACTGTTCGCTGTGGATGCTGTTTGGTTGATTTTCTGCAGGTCATTCAGCTGAGGGCATCCTAGTCAGTTTCACGGTTGTCTTTCTGGTCAGTTGCACATCCTGGTTCTGTGGCACACCAGCCTAGAGATGCTGTGCTCAGGATCATAGAATCATAAAATAGCAGGGTTGAAAGGGACCTCAGGAGGTCATCTAGTCCAACCCCCTGCTCAAAGCAGGACCAATCCCCAACTAAATCATCCCAGCCAGGGCTTTGTCAAGCCTGACCTTAAAAACCTCAAAGGAAGGAGATTCCACCACCTCCCTAGGTAACCCATTCCAGTGCTTCACCACCCTCCTAGTGAAAACATTTTTCCTAATATCCAACCTAAACCTCCCCCACTGAAACTTGAGACCATTACTCCTCGTTCTGTCATCTGCTACCACTGAGAACAGTCTAGATCCATCCTCTTTGGAACCCCCTTTCAGGTAGTTGAAAGCAGCTATCAAATCCCACCTCATTCTTCTCTTCCGCATACTAAACAATCCCAGTTCCCTCAGCCTCTCCTCATAAGTCATGTGTTCCAGTCCCCTAATCATTTTTGTTGCCCTCTGTTGGACGCTTTCCAATTTTTCCACATCCTTCTTATCGTGTGGGGCCCAAAACTGGACACAGACTCCCAGATGAGGATCTGACATTTCTGTTTGTGCTGAGCTAAATCCTGAAGTTTTGGTCCAGTTCTGATGCAGGTTTTTTTTTTTTTTAAATCACTGTAGCTCAACAGGAGTTTTGCCTGTGAAGAGACTAAAAACTGGATCCCCAAAATCTAGCTCATTAAAACTCATTTCCCCCCCTTTACAATATCTAAATTTTGGGCCTAATCCCAGTGGACACACTCCAAAGCAGTTTCAGTCAGTGGTTTACGTGCTCTCTAATGACTGAAAGTCACCTGAGCCTCACGGCTGCTCCATGGGCTCAGTGCAATGAGTTTGTAGGTCTCAGTTCAGTCCCCAGAGCTCGGTGATGGGAGGTGCCATGCACTGGAGCCTCTTCACATCAGAGTTTTATTTTGATCCATATCCACATCACAGAAACTACTGTGATAAATGACCCCCCTCGTCTGAGCTCTGCAGAGGGTGCTTCAGGAAGCAGGACTCCAGGGGCCCTGGAGATGCTCTCCACCGGTCCGAGGGGAGATCAGCCTTGCCCCAGCCCTTCAGAAGTGAGGTGGGGTAACTGGGTAAATGACGTGTACCTCTGCTGTGCAGAAACCCAGACAGCGCTAGAGGATCCTAGGATGGAACCCCACCCCCTGCTAGTCTGCATGCTGAACAATGCCAATTCTGCTGCAATGCCGGCTACCCCCTGGTGAGCTCCTGAGTACATTAGCCAGCTCAGCCACGGGCGCTGGGGAGGGGCTGGTGGGGACGGCCACTGGCTTCTTCCTCCCGTCAAGGCTCTGCTAATCATAGAATCATAGAATATCAGGGTTGGAAGGGACTTCAGGAGGTCATCTAGTCCAACCCCCCTGCTCAAAGCAGGACCAATCCCCAACTAAATCATCCCTAAATGTCTCTGCTCTGTTCACTCCTCCCTCTACCCCAGAGTGCCCTGAGCAGCAGGATGAGTGCTATCACCCTCCGTTGCACAGAGGGAGGGGGAAACTGAGGCACAGGGACTTTACCCAAGGCCAGGCAATCAGTGGCAGAGCCTGGGGCCCTCACCACTGAGCCATGCTGGCAGCCCATAGCCCAGGAGGGGTGGCACAGGGCAAGTGTGGGGGCAGCTCAGGGAAGGGAGCTGGCAGGAAGCCAGGCCCATGGAAGGGGAGCGGGAGCCAGGTTGGGGCTCTGAGGGGCTGTATTTTGAGTGGGGGCTAGAAGGCAAGATCAGAAGTTGGGAGGGATTTAGGGGGCTATGGAGAGTGGGGGGCACCATGGAGATAATCAGGAATTGGGGGTGGACCTGGAAGGGTGGTTATGTGGAGTTGGAGTCACTGGGGGCAATCAGGGGTTAGGGGTTGGTCTGGGGTTGAGGGGAGTCAGGGGGCACCAGGAAGGCAATCAGGAGTTGGGAGGTAAGCCTGAGGGGGTTTAGAGGAGTTGGGGGTTGCAAGAGGGAAGTTTGGAGTTGGGGTTGGGTTCAGGGGGGATGGGGTTGAGGGGAGTTGAGGGTCACTGGGGGGCAGTCAGGAGTTGGAGTTGGATTTGGGATGGTTGAGGAGAGTTGGGGAACATCCAGGAGAGCAATCAGGAGTTGGGGTTGGGTCTGGGGGGTTGAGGGGAGTTTGGGAGCTGCTGGGGGGCAGTCAGGGTTGGGTCTGGGGTTCAGGGAAGTTGGGGGGCACCAGGGGAGCAATCAGGAGTTGAGGGAAAACCTGAGGAGTAAGGGGAGTTAGGGGTCACCAGGGAGATAATCAAGAGTTGATCGAAGAGCTGGGACACCATAGTGGGGGGTAGAGGGAGCACTGGAGGTGGGTCTGTAGGTCCTCAGCGCTATAAGAGTTAAGTGTCCTTACTGGGAAAGTGGGGGGTGCATCTATTTATCCCCAGTGTCCTGCTTGCTCCCTCAGACTCTAAGGAGCTTGGCCGGGGCAGCTAGCCTCCAGGGTGCTAAGATGGCGAAGGAGAACTCTGGCTTCTCCACCATCCCCGAGACTCCGGTGAGTGAGGCAAAGCCCCCGCTCTGTTCCCGCCCGTCCAAGGCCTCAGCGCGGCTCCGCAGGGATAACGAGCGGGAGAAGGCCGAGAAGAAGAAAAGGCGCCAGCGGTATGTGGAGAAGGGCGGCAAGTGCAACGTGCAGCACGGCAACGTGCGGGAGACCTACCGCTACCTCACGGACATCTTCACCACCCTGGTGGACCTCAAGTGGCGCTTCAGCCTGTTGGTCTTCACCCTGGCCTATGCCATCACCTGGCTCTTCTTTGGCCTCATCTGGTGGTTCATTGCCTATTGCCGTGGCGACTTGGACCACCTGGAGGACCACACCTGGACGCCCTGTGTCAACAACCTCAATGGGTTCGTCTCGGCCTTCCTCTTCTCCATCGAGACGGAGACCACCATTGGCTATGGTCACCGGGTCATTACAGACAAGTGTCCTGAAGGCATCATCCTCTTGTTGCTGCAGGCCATCCTGGGCTCCATGGTCAACGCCTTCATGGTGGGCTGCATGTTCGTCAAGATCTCCCAGCCCAACAAGCGGGCCGAGACCCTCGTCTTCTCCTCCCACGCCGTGGTCTCGCTGCGCGACGACCACCTGTGCCTCATGTTCCGGGTTGGGGACCTGCGCAGCTCCCACATTGTGGAGGCCTCCATCCGGGCCAAGCTGATCAAGTCCAAGCAGACCCAGGAGGGGGAGTTTATCCCCCTCAACCAGACGGACATCAACGTGGGCTTCGAGACGGGCGATGACCGCCTCTTCCTGGTCTCGCCCCTCATCATCAGCCACGAGATCAATGAGCACAGCCCCTTCTGGGAGGTCTCCAGGGAGCAGCTGGCGAAGGATGAGTTTGAGATTGTCGTCATTTTGGAAGGGATGGTGGAGGCCACAGGTAAGATGTTTTGCCTGGGGTTCCCCAGGATCATACTGGACTAGGATGGGTTTTGGGCCTAACCCAGGCTAATGCTGGTTTGGGGACAGGGTTTACCTTGAATCTGCCCCAGTCTTGCCCTGGATCTAGTCCAGATTTGGGCCTAATCCAGACTCTCACTAGTTCTTGTTCAGTTTTGGGACCATATTTGGACTGAGTCCGTTCTCGTCTCACACAAACTCCAGTCCAGGTTTTGAGCCTATCCTAGGTTCACACTTTCCCAGCCAGTTTAGGGACAAGGTTCAGAGTGAGTTCGTCCTAGGCCCAGGCTGGATCCAATCCAGGTCTTGGGCAGCATTTAACTTGGGAGGTGAGCATGTGGCTGCTCCACGTGCACCCCTGAGCAGCTGCACTGGGTCAGAACACATCACTTACAGGGGCGGGGTGTGTCCTTTTTTGCCCATAGGAATCCAGACCAAGACTTTTCCCCAGGCTGGGCTCACCTGGGATTCTACCTCAGGACTGCTCAGCCCACACCCTAGGTGCTCCCTCCCCAGACAGCCTGCTCCTATTTGTCTTGTTTCTGGGCGGGCAGTGCCTCCTAGCCTCAGTGAGTTGAGAAAGCTGGATCCACAGTGGGGAGTGCGCCAGCCTATTACATTCTTCCCCATGCCGTCTGGTTTCCTCCCCACATATGTAGCCTCTTTGCGATCCAACTCCAAAGAAGCCTGTGGTTGTCTGGTGTTCTGCCATCTCTGTCAGCCTCACTCCTGATCTCCCCTGGAGCTCACCTCCTGCCTCATTCCTGGTCACATCTCATCCATATAGCAATGGAAGCAACAGAGCCACTTAAAGGATAACAACCTACTACTCCTGACAGCTAATGGAATTATTCCTTTTGCTCAAGAGGTTGAGAGAGGTCTGTGCTGCAGTGCTAAAAGTGGGATCCAGGCCACTGGTACAAAACCCTCTGATAACCCATGAAGGTAGAGGTAAAATGCTTACACAGATCATGGGTACAAGGCACTGGCTCAGAGCTATGTGATCTGGGTTCAGTTCTGGCTCTGCCACTTACTCCCTTTGATTTTTGGATTGGTCACGATCTCTCACTGGGCATCAGGTTCCCCAGCTGTAAAATGGGAATTTACACTGTGAGCTCTTTCAGGCAGGAACTGTCTATCCCTGTATGTCTGTGCAGTGCCTGGCACGATGGGGCACTGATTTCGGGGAAGGACTGTGTGCAGCGCCTGGCACAGTGGGGCCCCACTCTCAGTCTGATCTTGGTTATGGTCTGTAAGCACTACCTTTATCCAAATAATAATATATTGGGCGCATTTGAGTTAGTTAATTAAAAACGAAAAAGAAAAAAAAAGGGCAGCTGGAAGAAATAGGAACCCTAAGAGAAGATCATTAAATAAACAGCAATTCCTGTTTTATTCAATCAGTAGGGAATGAATCACCATTACTCTGAAGAAGTTAAAAACAATTCTCCTTTATTCTGAAGCTTCATGTCAAGTACAGGCAATAAACCATCACACCATTGACAGAAGCTGGTGGTGGGAATGCGTCATTTATTCCCTGTTAATGACCTGGAGCCTTTGCGTAAATGAAATCTGTGCTGCTCAGGGTGCTGGAGGCCTTCTGCTCTGAAGCGGGCACTTCTGTGCTGCAGTGCTAGCTAGCTGTTCTCTTCGCTGTTACGCACCAGTTCCATTGGCCGCTGATCGATGTAATCGAACAGGACGTGCTCTGTAGTGAAGAGGGCTCTTCGGGTGGCAGTGGCTGTGTGATTAAGGCACTGGACAGGGGCTCGGGGGATCGGGATTCAATTTCTGGGGCTCCCACAGGCTCCCTGCGTGACCCTTAAAGACACATAGCTCTTAGTTTTCAGCTGTGACTAATGGCTTTGAGTGCTGACCCCCCCCCGCAACTGAAAATCCAGCTCCTGTCACGAATTCAGCCCCTCCCCCCGCCAGATCACTTCTCCCTTTCAAAAATGTAAACCCTGACCTTTCCGCACCTCAGATTCCCCATCTGTCACACTGTGACGATTATTATTTATAGTAGGGTAGTGCCTAGAAGCCCCACTAAGGTCGTGGCACCATCATGCCGGATGCGGCACAGACACATAGAGGCAGTCCCTGCCCCCAAACAGTTCCTGATTTAGATTAGACAGGCAAAGAACCCGAGGCCCCAAGAGTGGAAATGACTTGCCCAAGGTCATGCAGCAGGTCAGTGGCAGAGATGGGACTAAAACCCAGGTCTCCTGAGCGCCAGGTCAGTGCTTTATTCACTCGAGCACACTACCCTTTAAAGCTGGGCTAATAATGCTGCCCCCCATGGGTGATGTGAGGCTACATTCATTGAGGTTTGTGAGGCACTCAGGGTCTGCCATGATGGGGCCAGATAAGCAGCGGCAGATAGCCGGGGAGTGCTGCAGCCTTTCCTTTTGCAGGTCCATAGCGACAGCAGCCCCTGGGCCCTCCTTTTGTGAACCTCAGAGACGTGGCGTTCTGGGAGAGATACAGAGCGGGCACAGGTTTTATTCTAGCTGTCTGTTGGCACAATCTAGCATCCGGAGCAAGTGTTACAGCAGCCAGCACCTTGTGCCCAGCCATCTGCCCACAGACCACGAGGCCTTCCCAGAACACAGTTTGAGAACTGCTGGGCTTTGCATTTCATTATGGGGGTTGTATGTTCAAAGCACTTTTCAGACGTCTATTAACCCTCACAGAACTGCTATGAAGTAGGTAGCGAACTGTGATTTGTATTGCAGTGGCACATAGAGGCACCAAATGAAGTCAGGGCCCCATTGTGCTGGGCACTACCCAGAGCCTGTCTGAGCTCAAGACCCCCCGAATTGGGCTGGGCACTGCAGAGACCCAACTAAGATCAGGGCTCCCATTGCCCCAGGAATTGCACAGACCCCAGCTGAGATCAGGGTCCCCATTGTGCCAAGTGGGGCATAGAGCCCCACCGAGATCAGGGGCCCATTGTGCCAGGCGCAGCCCAGATCCTGACTGAGATTGGGGCCACATTGGGTTTGACACTGCACAAACTCTAACCAAGATCAGGGTCCTATTGTGGAGGGTGCTTCACAGACGCATAATGAGACACAGTCAGTGCTTAATTTGTGCCAGCGCTGAGCCCCGGCACCTCTAGGCTTGGCAGTTCAGAGCCCCGGCACCCTCTGGGCTTCCCATGTCAGTTATAAAAGTAAAAAAATTGCTTGAGCCCCCCGCACCTAATTGCTTGAGCCCTGGGACTTCTTTCATTACAAATTAAGCGCTGGATACAGTCCCTGTCTGGAAATGCTCACAGTCTGACTAGACAAGGCAGACACAGTGAGGTAGTAGTCTCACCAGGATACTGGTGTGGAAACTGAGGCACAGTGAGGGGAAGAGATTTGCCTGAAGCGACCCAGTGAGTCAGTAGGACTAGAATCCAAGTCTCTAAACTCTAACCCAGAGACCATGCCCCAGCCATCTAAACACTGATGGAAACAGCCAAAATGGCCGGCAGTGTGTTCTAGCGGACAGAGCACTGGACAGCGACTCAGGAAACCCGGGAACTCTCTCGGCCTCTGTCACTGGCTGGCTGGGTGACTTTGGGCAGCTCACGTCACCCCTCTGCCTCAGTTTGCCCAGCTGCGAAAGGGGGACAAGGATCCTGAGCTGCTCTGAAAGCGACAGAGGAGATGCGCTAGAGAAGTGCGCTAGGTCTCATTCTTATAGTGTCAAATCCCGGGCGTTCTGTGGAAATTTTCCAGTGGCACTTTGGCTAAGAGGGGAGACCAATCAATGGCCTCAGCCGCAGCCCAGCCTGGCTGCCATGCTCTGGGCAGCACAGAGATGATGAAGGACAGGATCCTGCCTCCTGGGGATTTGTTGAAAAAATTCTCCCCAGGGCCCCATCTTCCCAGGGCTCATGGCCTTCCTGTCCATTCTCTCCCCCTCGTCCCTTGCTCCTGGACATGGGAGCAGCAGCTTTTATTTTTAAACCTGTTCCTCGCTCCGTCACATCACGGGGAGTTATGTAACCCTGCCGTTAAGTGCAACGTTCATCACCACGGCAACCCAGGCCCATGTCACCAGTGGAGAATTCTGCCTCTTGGCTGGCTCTGAGCGAGGGTAGGAGCAGGTCAAGAGCAGATGCATCCCCTGGGCGAGAGCTACGTGCCTCCCTCATAGGAGGGTTGACTGGGGATCAGCCCCCGACTTCTCCGGCCCTGTGGTCCTTCTGGCAAGGCTACAGCTGCATCAGGACTCTTATGGAACAAAGGCGGTAGGCTGCGAGAGAAGCAGTGTGGGTGAGTGGTTAGGCCACTTCCCTGCCCTGGGAATCAGGAGACCCGAGCTATGGCGTGTGACCTTGCGCAGGCCTGTGCCTCTCAGTCCCCTCCCGTCCTGTGTCTGTCTTGTCTATTTGCAGTGTCTTCACAGCAGGGACTGCCTCTTGGTAGGTGGACGCACAGCACGTAGCGGACCAGGGGGCCAGTCTTGGATGTTACAGTGACATTACAGCACCATCATCATAACAATCCTACAAAATTGTCCCTGAAGTTTCTGCTCAAAACAGGGCATCATTACCCCCCATTTACAGATGGGGAAACTGAGGCACAGAGCAGGGAAGGGGCTTGTGCAAGGTCACACAGTATAGAGCTAGGAGCAGAACCTGGATCTTCAGAGTCCCAGGTCTCTGCTCCATCTTATGGACTATGCTGCCTCTGTGCCCTCTGACATGAGGGCACGATGAAACTGGTACACTCTGGTGGGATCCAGCCAGATGAAAGGAGCTGTGTATGCCTAGGCAATGAGCATGACTGTCGAATGGCATCCCGCCCCAGAGTAAGGGTGTTATTTGCTATGGAGCAAGGGGACAGTTGCTCCCCTAAACTTGGTTCCCCCCCCCGCCGACTTTTCATAGGTCTGTATATTCCATTATCTCTTCCACTCCCCACCCTGACTTTGCCAGATACAATATAATCACATGTCATGTTCCATATGCTGACACACAACATG